AGGTCCACCGGAATTGCGAAATTATCAGACTTGATTCTTGAGCATCCTCCAGCTATGTTCTAGCGTGACCTGACATCTTGCCACAGGGAACCCATACAAGGGGCGTGCCTGTTTGTATGTTCGAAGTATAAGGAAATGTGTAGCTCTTATTAACCGAGCAGGAGGTCTGTATGGGAGAATTTTGACCGAGGTCGTGAGTACAGACCGAACGCAGCGAGGTCTGTACACACGAGGGAGGTCAAGATTCCTATACAGACCGACTTAGTTCGGTTAATAAGATGTTTATTGTATGGCAAAGGAGAAAACTTTAATTCGTTTAATGTAACTGGTTTGCTGACATTCTGCTTGCGAACAGCGATGAGCTTAACTTAAGCCTGCCGAAATTTGCTCGTCCTCTTTACTTTTTTTCTTTGTCATCAGGCTTTTTGGCACTTCCATAAATGATTCAGAAGAAAATGAAAGAAAATGGTGAACATTTTTGTATTTTAGTTCGCTACTTTTTCAACGCGAAATGTAACCGGTCTAGATGCCGGTTTAGATGCCGGTCTAGATGCCGGTCCAGATGCCGGTCTTGATGGGAAAATCTAGACCGCGGTCAATATCGATTTCAGCCAATCAAATTCGTGAATTCAGTAGTTCCCAGTCCTTGTGAGAAAGAGTCATGTAATAATTAGCTCTTATTAACCGAGCTGGAGGTCTGTATGGGAGAATATTGACCGAGGTCTGTACACACGACGGAGGTAAAGATTCTCCCATACAGACCGACTTAGCTCGGTTAGTAATATGTTTATTATATGGCAAAGAAGAAAACTTTAATTCTTTAAATGTAACTGGTTTGCTGACATTTCGCTTGCGAACGGCGATGAGCTTAACTTAAACCTGCCGAAATTTGCTCGTCCTCGTTGACTGTTACTACATGTTATAAGTAGTAACAGTCAACGCAAAACCCACCAAATCTCTCAAATTCGCCATTTTGAGCCCCAGAAACGACAGTACACAACAACTGAAGGAGATTTACTTTTATTTTGAGCTTTAACATGGACATTACTCGATATCAGTTTACGATATTAAGACTCTTTAATATTCCCATAAATTTCTTTATACAAACAGACACGCCGCTTGTATGGGTCCCTGTGGTCATGTATAAAGATCATCGTCTCTTGCTGATAATGTTTATTTTTCAACTTTAATAATGGAGTTTAAAATAAACGGGGGTGATTTTAGACCGAGGGAAACAGAAATCAGTTCGAAATAGTTGGCAGTTGGAAATAACCGAATTCAAAATACACGATAGCAAAAGGCTGAAAATTACAGCAGAAAATCAATGGGTTTGAATCGAAATAACCTAGTTCTGAATTTGCCTGTTCCAGGCCCTCGGTCAGTGGGGACGAAAAAACGGGCGGGCGACGAGTGAAATCAGCGATGAGCAGGATTCGGGCCGGAGAGAAAAGGAGAGGGCGGGAGACCCCCAGCCCTTCGCCTGCACGCTCTTTCGATCATCCACATTGACCGAGAGCCTGGAACAGACTAAATTCGAATACACCATTCGCTAATGCTAGCTCCAGTCCCTTGTGAGGGCAGAACTGTTTCTTTCTTTATGAATTTAACCCACAAAGGAAGTGGAACTAAGAAATATTTGCATTAGCAAAATGGCCTATTAGCTATGCTTAACTATGTAATATCAGAAGCATATAACGTTTTTGCGTTTGAGATGTAATCGGGCGCAAGGGAGTCTTCAATCTACAACATGTAGTTCAATCCAGCAGTCCAGTCCATTCCAATCCAGACAGGCAACAACAGCAAGGCAACAAGGCGGATAGTATTCCTTTGAGTAACAGTTGTCATATGACGCCTCTCATGGCTTGTCATGTGACTAAGGATATTCATAGTGCCTCCGAACGCTCCGTTGAGAAGCTCAGTAGACAGGCCTGCTCTGTAGAGTAGAAGAAAAAAATTACCTTGCGCTTACAGAGATACCTAGGTCAGACAAATTCAAATATGGTAAGTGGAAATATTTGGTTGATATCTAGCTTTTTTGTGCAGAGATATCTGTTTTATAGCATGACATGATAGTTATTTCACGGCACGCAACGTTGCTTGGCGCTCAATTATGTTCCAAAGCTATTTGCATGTAACAGATATTACAATTTGTTTGCTTTACCCAGCAAGTGTACACCAATTTCCACTTATCCGTGGGCAGTCCACGGCATTAGAAGGTCTTTTCAGTCCTCGAAGGCACCGTTCCTTTAATGTCAACTCAAGCAAAAAGCTAAGCGCGCTGAGCATGCAACCATACGTATTCAAATTCATACTTTCCACTGTTCCCTTTGACCGGTAACCCTAGCTGCTCGATTCTTTTCGTGGATCTTTCGTGTATCTTTCTTACCCTAACCCTAACCCTAACCCTAACCCTAACCCTGTTGTACATCTTTAGTAATTAAAGCTCCTTCTAGGAAATAAGGCGTGAATTCGATGTTGCTTTTTCCCAATGTTTATTACGCAACTATCAGTTTACAGTAGATACGTGGCAGAATTTGCTGTATCGAAATTTTGCGTTAGTGAACGGGCGGCCAGAATAATGCAATTTTTGTTTGGCTAAATATCACTCTTGTGTGCACGGCTTAGTCGTGGCGTCCAATTATATTGCATATTAAGCCTAGATAAACTCTACTCGTCATGTTAGAACCTTATTAATTTTCATAACATTCGGCTTCTATGCCAGCGTCAATAACCCTAAACTGATACTTAAGTCGAATTAGTTACGAGAAATCCCAGCAGAAATATATTAGCGGACAAAAACAACGTCGGTCAGTGTACTATGGGCGAAGACGAAAAAGTTTCAAACAGATTTTAAGCGCAGACGAAATGTTTCCTTGTAGAATGTCTCACAGCGGTATTTACACTTATGAAAATTTTGCAGCAAAGTGAGATAGTACTATATAAAAAAAATTGTGCTAAGACCTTTATTCTGTAATGCAAAATGTATTAACAATATGTTTTCATACATATAAAAGAATTTAGTACAAGGAAGTCTTCGCCCTGTCCTGTTCTCTGTGATAAAAATATAGTTTTGATACATATAAAAAATTTAGTGCGAAAAAGTCTTCGCTCTGTCCAGTTCTCTGTAATAAAAAAATATTTTTTATAGGTATAAAAAATTTAGTGCAAAGAAGTCTTCGATCTGTCCAGTTCTCTGTGATAAAAATATAGTTTTAATACATATAGAAAATTTAGTGCGAAGAAGTCTTCGCCCTGTCCAGTTCTCTATAATAATAATAAAAAAATTTTTATACACATAAATTTAGTGCAAAGAAGTCTTTGCTCTGTCCAGTTCTCTGTGATAAAAATATAGTTTTAACACATATAAAAGATTTAGTGCAAAGAAGTCTTCGCCCATGTCAGTTATCTGTAATAACATTTCAGTTCTTATTCATATAAAAAATTAAGTGCGATGAAGTCTTCGCTCTGTCCACTTCTCTGCGAAATAAATATCATTTGATACATATAAAAAATTTAGTCTGAAGAAGTCTTCGCTAGTGCGAAGAAGTCTTCAACCTGTCCAGTTCTCTGTGATAAAAATATAGTTTTTATACATATGAAAAATTCAGTGCCAAGAAGTCTTCACTCTGTCCAGTTCTCTGTGATAAAAATACAGTTTTAATACCTATAAAAACTTTAGTGTGAAGAAGTCTTCGCTCTGTCCAGTTCTCTGTGATAAATATATAGTTTTAATACACATAAAAAATTTAGTGCGAAGAAGTCCTCGCCCTGTCCCACTGTCTGTAACTGGGTTGTACTCCCCCTTAGCTATTTTATAGAAACACGCACATGGGGGCCTTATTTCGACTCTATAACTGCTGTTAAATCTGCTTGGTGCATGTATATTTATGACTTTGTTGTATCTATCAACAACATCTGCTAACGTCATAGGAAAGAATTTTCCCAGTTGTGAGTGTGCTTGCACCAAATTTCAATTTTTGTTCACTGTATGGTCCTGCATCAAATACATTTAGACTGTTGTATTTCGTCTTGCAATAGAAATAAATAAGCAGTTTTACTTATTGTTTGATACTTGTTTACCTAAAAAATAATAATTGTTATCTATCCTTGTGTCAATGTGATAGATTGATATTTTATCACTTGCCATCTTTATTCAGTTATTTCATCAGGAATACCCATTTAGAGGCTTTATTGTGCAATCCTTGATTTCGAGAGATATTTCCCAATTGCCGTAATGCAACCCACGTCCCATTGCAATGACTTGTATTTTTTGGTCCGAATTGAAGTTCTCTTGGCCCTCAAACAAGGGTACTAAAATTACGGCTGACAAACAGCTTAAAAGTCCACCTTAGTCGACCCTGCAGCTGTCTCCTCAGGGTCGCTGAAATGACTGGTAACCTCATTGCCAAAAAAACATGCTAGATTTGTTTTATCAAAAGGTATTACTTCAAATTCAGCGGAGAAATGAAACGTTTTCCTCTCTTGCGTCACAAGTCACTTTTTGTCCATTAAGAGACTAATTGGTCGCAGTTGTGGTGGTCAGCTGATCATGTGACAGGGACCTGATGGAGGTTTTTTGTTGTGAAAATAAACTTGCCTCGTTTTTTTTGTCTTTGTCCCTGACACGATTATGTAACACGAGCAAATCGAAGATAAAGACCTCTGGAAGCTCGTTTAAAGTTACGTAAATGAATAACTTTCTTTTATTCTTTAAGTGTTCACCGCGAGACGCTTTTTGCTTAATACTTAGATTCACTAAAAATTATCGTGTCTGTTCACGACCAGTGTCATTTTTTACTCAAAGAAATTCGCCGTCCAGTGTGCAACACTATGGCTCCCTGTAAATTTTAATGATCATTATCAGTCATAAAGTTATGACATGTTGCAACAGCCCGGATTACCCACAGACAAGAAACTTTTAGATTGTATCTTAAAGATCTTCTTCCATTTTATTATTCAATCAACAAATCGGCTGAAAAGTGCTGGGAAATTTTGAACTTTCTATGCCGGAAACAAACAATTTCAAATAAACAAGAGGTTGTTGCTGGGTTAACGAAAAATGGTGTTGTCTATCTTTTTTCTTTTTTCTTTTTTTTTTTTTCACTTTCGTCATTGCAGTTGCCAATGTGTTTTTCGCGCGATTTCTCAATTTCCTAAATCTAGATTGTGTGAGCGCAACGGTGACTTTAACGTCTGATTGTTTCTCAAAAGTATAAGTATTGCTTACTCTTTCCGTTTTTCTCGGTGTGTGCTTAAACTCGACAAACGAGAGATTAGGAACCATTTTCGAAGTTATTGCACTTAGGATCTTTTTTTTACCAGTACATCTAGAATGTCTGAAACTGCCCTCTACTCAGATATCGTTGAAGGCTTTGGGCCTAAACTGAGACCTGCTGGTATGGAACTAGACACAAAAGAAATGTTGAAATACAACCGGTAAGTTCAGCCGATTCACGCTCTCATTTCTGTTTAATGTTTCTCTGATTATATTTCGTTTGGGTCCTTTGCTGATGCAAGATTATCATAGTTGTTTTGACGTTTTATTGTTTCTTTATGTTACTTTTCATCAGGAATTCCTTGAGAGATTACCTAAATCGTGTCAAAAAGGAATGGAAAGCGAAAGAATTGCGGTAGGTCTCAACCGTTTTACCTTTTGTGATTTCCTAATATTCGTTAAGGTTTTTTTTTTAAAGCAGCGACTAAGTAATCTTTCTTTTTTGTATAGNCTTTGGGCCTAAACTGAGACCTGCTGGTATGGAACTAGACTAAAAAAAATGTTGAAATACAACCGGTAAGTCCAGCCGATTCACGCTCTCATTTCATTATAGTGTTTCTTTGATGATATTTCGTTTGGGACCTTTGCGTTCTTTGCTGATGTAAGATTATCATAGTCCTTGTGACGTTTAATATTTTCTTTGTTACCTTTCATCAGGAATTCCCTGAGAGATTACCAAAATCGTGTCAAAAAGGAATGGAAAGCGAAAGAATTGCGGTAGGTCTCAACCGATTTACCCTTTGTTATTTTCTAATATTCGTTAAAGTTTTTTTTAAAGCTACGACTAAGTAATCTTTCTTCTTTTGTATAGAAATCGTGGATGTATATTTTCCAGTTTGAAGAGGAAGAAGATGTCATGCAGAAAGCCATTGCTTTGTCGTTAGCCGTCGACAAGACGAAAGTAGACAGTGTCCCTGCTGTAGAGGTAACACTAAAAAATGTGTTGTTATAATAAGCGCATGAAGCAACAGTTTCAACTTTTTTAACACTGGCATTTTGGACGAATGAGCGTAACCCGATAATTGTATTTGCCGCAATGCTCTTGTTCCGTAATGCTCTTGATTTGGGCCGCGTCGCACCATCTATGGTGACTTCAAACATTGTTTATTTTTTGCGGAGTAAAAACAGGCCAAAAATATCTCAGGTTCCAGATTTTAGCGGTGATCGCATCAAATCAACATGTTTCAACCAAACTTTGCTGATTGACATAGATGTTAATCACACAGCCATTTAAAAAGACTAAAAAAACATCTCCTGCACAAATTATGCAACAATGGCTACTTAGCCTCCTTATATTTTTTTAGTTCTTTTTTTCCCCTCTGGGTTGATGCGTGCGTTACTTAGTTTGGGTCTATACTCCAAGTTTACAATTGTGATCAAAGGAGATGGCTCAGGCCATCTGTTTTCTAAGTTGCTGTCAATAATGTTAGCCAGGGTGCGAGTCATAAACAATTGAAGACAATCACCGCTCATATTCCTCGCTTCCAGTAAAATAACTGTAAAAGAGTCATATGGGCTGAATAAAACGGGATTTCGTCCCATCGTGCTGAACTAGACTATCCAACCAAAGTTATTCCCCGCTGTAATTCTACTCATACATGTTGCATAATGTAACAGTTCAATGGTTAAAAATAAAAATAGAAAGTGTTGGTTGTGCCGAAAAAAGCTTCCGCAGCAGGACTTCTTCTTCAGTGGCGCAAAATTAGCAACCTTCTAAAATTCGTCAAGTTTTTGAACCTGGGAGTCGCGGCTTATTTTACGCTGGTTGCTGACAGATTTATAGTTATGCACACTACAGTCGAACCTACTATTAAGCGGCCAGATATCAAAGTCCAGAAATTATTGTCAGTAACATGCTGTAAATGAAACTCTTATTTTAATTTTAATGCACGTAGTTTGATTGAATATTTTGATTTTAATGCTGTAAAGAGCAGACTTTACGCAGACTTTACGCAGGCTACCGGCATTGTAGTTGCTTTTAATAAAGTTCTCATAAGGTAACCCAATCGTAGTCGCTAAACAGCGGCATATTGCAACGAAATTAGGAATCAATGTCTAATCTCAACGTTTCTGAAAAATGTTTCTCTACATACCAAACCGATCCTTGTAATAGTTATTTGTCTTTCTGCATACGAAAAATTTGAAAGAATTAACAGCATTTTATCGCTATCGACAGGCCCCGGCCTGTAATCTGACTCCATCGTTCCGACTAAATGATGATGAAAGATTTGAGGCTTTGCTGGATGCATTTGTAAGTTTAAACTTGGTCTTGCCACCTGTCTATGCTTCTCCAAAGAAAGAACCTAAAACCGCCCATCCAAGCATAAGAAACCCAGATAGGATACCATTCGCTTGGAGACCTCCGAAAGCTCCCAATGGACTGTGGGACTGCAGCAAGGATTTTGAAGGTATAATACATAGGATAACGTAACAATGCTTCAATCCACCCATCGACCCGCACAAAAAATATTGAGTTAGTATCTACTGATGAGACTAGTTGGGCGAGACTTTCCTGGTTCGTATAATGTTCACAATTAATGTTGCACCCATCTTAAAGTGCACCTAACCCCAAAATTTTTTTTCACTAGAACGAATCTACTTATTATTTGAAATAGTTCTGCGAAAAAATTTTTGAATTCCGTTAAATCCTCGATTTTCTGTGCCACGACGAAATCTCGAAAAT